CTGACAGAGTTTTGTGTCAACTTGTGATAACTGTCTTTTTCTTCTGGATGTACAAAATGAAATACAGCTGCTATCAAGAGTCTTCTGTTATTCATGGCTGGTTTGTTTACTGGGTACGTTTTTGGTTGAGAAATGCGTCGCTTGTCAAAATTCGGTAATTCGATTTCGGAAGGCATGGTTTTCGTTTTTCAGCTTTTTTCACCTTGTTTAATGCGTAAGGGGGTTTAAAAAGACTCAAGGAACTGTGGCCTTCCTTGATAGCTTTCAGGAACTGAATCTCGAATGGTAAGCCTGAGTAGTTATTGTATTTGATGTTTGTTTTTGTTATATCTAATTTCATGAAGTCTTGCACAGTTCACGCTGACAGTTAATGCGGCAAGTTTATTCACGTTTGTAGGATTTGAGTCAGTATCAGGTTTGATATAAGCTTACAGAACTTTAAAAAGCTTTCAGATACATTTGCTCACCACAAATAGAAAGAAAACGTTCCGAAGAATATTTAGTTATAAATTTGGCTGCAGAAAGAAAACTTTGAGCGATTTTCTTGCTTCGAGAAGTTCACCTTCGAAAACAGTAAACACCGCGTCGGGAAGCCGGCTTAAGCTTTACGCTAAAAGACTCAGGATTTTTAGAGGCACTTTAATGCTTGTCTTCGTGAATGAAAATTGTTGTCTCTGTAAATGTTTCACCGAATTATATTTCTTTTTTTGATTTTTAGTAGTCTCTCTTTCAATTTTAATCGCTTGTCCGTGCCGTTTGTTTCATCGTTCGTGACGTGCGTATCAAACGCTTTATAAGATTACAGATCGTTATAACTGAAACCATTAAATAACAAAAAAATAATAATAATAAATTCGCTGTTATGTTGAAGCGTAACTCTATTAAAGTTCATTCAAACACTCGACCACACTGACAGCTCGCACTATAGAAACGAGAACGAGCTGGCCGTATGGGTGATATTGGAAGTTTTTGATCGGTTTCGCTTAAAGCCCACGATTGATCGTCCTGATTGACTGCGTGCAATTTGTCTTGAAAAATTGTGAAATACCGCATTCTGTCCGAGGTCTGTATGATAAATAGTACTGTTTCACCACAAATGCCATGTATAAAAATTATAAAAGGTTGGTTTAAACAGAGTTTGACTAAAAGTCGCGGGTCGCGGGTCGCGGGTCGCGGGTTCAAAGTCGCGGTCGCGGGTTCAAAGTCGCGGTCGCGGGTTCAAAGTCGCGGTCGCGGGTCCAATGTCGCGGCAGGGGAAAATGATTTGGGGTTCGAGGTAATGAGCTGAGTGAAAACGACTGATATGAACAGAATATAAAGGGAAAAAATCTTTTTTATGCACAATACTCTACGGCAGCCAATTTACAGGTTACGGATGTTAGAGTCAACAAAATAATGTCTCAAGAAAAGACCTAAAAGAAAAAGCTGGCCGACTTTTGTGTTCAGCGCAAGTTTTTTTTTTCTTTCTGTCGGGCCCAGCTATGTGTAAATTCAGCTTTGAATATACTTATGCATAACAGTATCTGATAAAAAAAGTTACCATAAGTTACCATTGCTTTCTTCTTGTCGATGAATTGCTCACAAATGCTTAAGGGTTCAATTACTGAAAAATATGCGATACACTTCATAGACTACAGATTATAAACGTTACAACAACTTAAAGCCTTTTTTTAAAAAAAGCGAACTCGGGTTCAAAAAGCTACGAGTCTGTCGGTAGAAGAAACGAGAACTGTTATATTTAACAAATGTTTTCGGCAAAACTGAAAGAAAATGTAAATAGGCGCATGATTCAAGGCATGAATTTAATATGGAAACAAGTAATAATCCACAGAAAGGAGTCTGTTCCTCGAAGCAAGATTTTCGCTTAATGCTTTTATTTTTACAACTGAGACGGCAACCTAGAGAGTTCAATATAACTTCTTGTTCTCTTCACCTAAATGGCAACCAGGACAACCTGACAATAGGAAGCCATTCAATGTGCGTCTCAGTCAAATCTTGAAAACATGCATCGTAAATAACTAAGTGAGTAAGTAGGTAAGGAAATAATAACGCCCGATATCATGAAGCTGAAAAAGAAAGTAAACCGGACACTGAAAACAGTAAGTTATCAACTCCACCAGAGCTAAGAAAAGACAATAAATTAGGTAAGTAATTCCAGATTCCAGGTACTGGATTGAAGTCTTTGTCAGTAGAACCAAGAGACTATGATCTATTCTCTCTTGGTAGAACTTGGATTCCGGATTTCAATCGTTATTGGGAACAAACTCCTTTCTGTGGACAAGAGAGGATAAAGCTCGAGCTTTATCCCCTCTTGCTGTGGATTATTACTTGTTTTTTATTAAAGTCATGCCTTAAATACCCGCTTGAATGTACTTTACTTTACTTCAAGCCCAACGTCTCTCCTCCTCTTTCCAGTTACTTGTGCAAAGAGTTTATTTTGGGAGTTTGCGACTGTTACGCGGGTAATCTTTTAGAGGACGGGTAGCTTGCAAACTAAACTGAACGCAGGGTTGTCGGAACAGCAACAAGAAGATTTATTCCAAAGATGAACGTAGTTTCCACTGAGTAAAACTCCACAACAGCATGTAACTCGTTAAACTTACACGGCCTCCGCCAACTTGAATAAACACTGCCTTCGTCACACTTGACTAAACACGACCAACGTCAAACTCTCTTCGCTTGTGAAAACTAGTTAAAACTTAACTCGGGCTCGCCTACCTTATATACGTTTACAATAAGATTCTAGAACTTTCCAAATAGTCTAATTATAGAAAGATTACAAAATATACCGCTTTTAGAAACGCTTACACAAGATCCTAAAATAAACAAATTATGAACTCTCGCGAAGCTTCTAGAAAGTCACACTAGTCACGCAATACAATTTTTCGTAACAGCGACTAGGAAGTTTTTCAACAAGCGTTTTCTTTATTTTTGCCGAAAACATTTGTTAAAATTGAAACAGTTCTCGTTTCTTCTACCGACAGACTCGTAGCTTTTCGAGTCCGAGTTAGCCTTTTTTAAAAAAGGTTTTAAGTTGTTGTAACGTTTATAATTTATAGTCTATGAAGTGTATCGCACATTTTTCAGTGAATGCACCCCTAAGAATTTGTGAGCAATTCATAGACAAGAAGAAAACAATGGTTACTCATGGTAACATTTTTTATCAGATACTGTTATACATAAGTATATTTAAAGCTGAATTTACACTTAACTGGGCCCGACAGAAAGAAAACAAAATAAACTTGCGGTGAACACAAAAGTCGGCCAGCTTTTTCTTTTAGGTCTTTTCTTGAGACATTATTTTGTTGACTCTAACATCCGTAACCTGTAAATTGGCTACCGTAGAGTATCGTGCATAAAAAAGATTTTCTCCCTTCATATTGTTTTCAAAACAGTCGTTTTCAAATCATTTTCCCCTGCCGCGACATTGGACCCGCGACCGCGACTTTGGACCCGCGACCGCGACATTGGACCCGCGACCGCGACTTTGGACCCGCGACCGCGACATTGGACCCGCGACCCGCGACCCGCGACCCGCGACTATTAGTCAAACTCGTTTAAACACCCCCAGATTTGTTGGCAAGAATTTGTAAAGTAAACCTGTCGAACGCAAAAAAAATTCGGCGTGATTTGTTTTCCAAGAATTTGTTGTCGAGGCCTAATCTACTGTGATCTTGAATGTGATCAAAGATGTTTGCTATTTTTTGGGTGTACATATAAGGTTATCAATTCGATGTAAGATGTTTCACTCTAAAATAACTTAGCCTCTCCCTCAAAAGTCACATGAATGTGCCCTTAAATTAACTGATTTGTGGATTAAAAGTTTATTGTTTGATTTAAATTATAAATTTATTAATTGGAGCTTCGCTTTTAGCCCTGGCTAAATCTATATATTAATAATTTTTTTTTTAAAACTATCTAAAGACTACTAATAACAAATATAAAAAGTATTTCAAGTATCAGAACAATAAGTAATATTTACAATTTTAAACTATATCGTATTGTTTACAAATTGGAAAACTAAATATACGTCCTCGATAGAAAAACTATTGACAATTGTGAATAATTTAAAAGTGGGAAAAGGAAAATTAAGCATTACTAAGAAAAAAAACTCTCAAAAATCTAGGCCTAAAATGATGAGTGCAGATGTAGACCAGCTACAGTGATAATAATAATAATAATAATAATAATAATAATAATTATTATTATTATTATTATTATTATTTTTAAATAGTTTTTATTTTTTTAAATTAACTTTTTGATGCTTTTTATAATTGTTATTAGTAGTCTCTAGATAGTCATTTTACGACAATTCTCTTTCGTACACAAGAAGAATGTACATAGGGTATATATTTTAATATTTCATATTCTTGAATCTGTAAATAGTCTATTTTTTGAAATCTATGAATAAAGTTTTGTATTATTATGATACTACTACTAATAATAATAATATATTTTTTTTACAATTAACTTAAAAAAAAACTATTCCGTCAAAACACTACTTACAATCCCTTTCGTTTAAAATAAAACACTTACTTTATATTATTATTTAAAAATAGATAATAATAATAAACATAATCATAATCATAATCATAATCATAATCATGAATAGGCTATTTTACAGTTGTGGACTTTATACCCTAGCCTTTGAGTGAATGTGAGACTGATGGTGACCTTGTTTTGATACAAACCTCCTTTGCTTTGTTATGGAAATTGCAGAAAAATACAAAAACCTTATTGGGACTGGAGTTAACAATATAATTAAAAATAGTAAAACCTACAAGAATATTATGGTTCAGTCATATTATACTAACCTGAGTACAAACCGTAGACTAAGAATTACATTAACTTCAAAAAGATGTTGCGTTTTCCATTAGAATGGTACTAGGGAAGAAGCCTCGCCTAAAACGCTCAGTTATCCATGCCTTCTGCGTTACAGATGTTGATATTTTGCATCCCTATATTTCACCAGGAGATAGATTATCCTACTGCAACTGCTGTTAAAAGCTGAAAGGTGTTCCTTTATCTTGAATATTAACATCCGCGTTGTGTTCAAGCAACAATCTACAGAGGTTTCCGTTACCGTTTCTAGTACTCCAGTGCAAGGGTGTATGTCCATGATTATCTTCAATGTTTACATCCGCGTTTTGTTCAAGTAAGAATCTACAGAGGTTTTCGTTCCCCCTTAAGGCACACCAGTGCAAGGGTGTATATCCGTCCTCATCTTGAGTATTTACATCCGCGTTATGTTCAAGTAACAATCTACAGAGGTTTTGGTTGTCCTCTCTGGCACACCAGTGCAAAGGTGTATATCCATCTTCATCTTGAGTATTTACATTTGCGTTGTGTTCAAGTAATAATATACAGACGTTTGCCTTCCCCATTAAGGCACACAAGTGCAAGGGTGTATATCCATCATCATCTTGAATATTTACATCCGCGTCGTGTTCAAGTAACAATCTACATAGATTTTCGTTACCCTCTATGGTACCCAAGTGTAAGGGTGTATATCCATGATTATCTTGAACATTTACATCCGCACTGTGTTCAAGTAACAATCTACAGAAGTTTTCGTTACCCCTGAAGGTACACCAGAGCAAGGGTGAATATCCATGATTATCTTGAATATTTACACCCACGTTGTGTTCAAGTAACAATCTACAGAGGTATTCGTTACCCTTGAAGGCACACCAGTGCAAGGCTGTATATCCATGATTATCTTGAATATGTACATCCGCATTGTGTTCAAATAACAATCTACAGAGGTCTTCGTTACCCAGTAAGGCACCCCGGTGCAAGGGTGTATATCCATCTTTATCTTGAATATTTACATCTGCGTTGTGTTCAAGTAACAATCTACAGAGGATTTCGTAACCCTTAAAGGCACACCAGTGCAAGAGTGAATATCCATTATTATCTTGAACATTTACATCCGCGTTGTGTTCAAGTAACAATCTAGAGAGGTTTTCGTTACCCTTGAAGGCACACCAGTGCATGGGTGAATATCCAAGGTTATCTTGAATATTTACATCCGCGTTGTGTTCAAATAACAATCTACAGAGGTCTTCGTTACCCATTAAGGCACACCGGTGCAAGGGTGTATATCCATCTTTATCTTGAATATTTACATCCGCTTTGTGTTCAAGTAACAGTCTACAGAGGCTTTCGTTACCTTTTAAGAATGACTGGCGAAGGGGTGTATATCCATAAGTAGTTTGAATATTCACATTTGCGTTGTGTTTAAGTAACAATCTGACAAGGTTTTCGTGACTTTTATTGACTGAAACGTGCAGTGGCGTGAACCCATTACTAATATGGACATTTACATCAGCTCCATGTCTTAGAATTAAGCTTGCTGCCATGTAGTTGTTCCAGTCAGCTGCTAACATTAGTGGTGTTTCTTTGCTTTTTCTCCTTTGGGCATTAACGTCGCCCCCAAGATCAATGAGGGTCTCAATAAACTGACTTGAGGATGAGCGACTGGCATGTAACAAGGCTGTGCAATCATTGTCTGATCCTGAGGCATTAATATCTACACCGTTATTTAATACAAGTTCAACTGCCTGTTCCACATTATCGTCGCATGTACCCCACGGCAGCTCAGTCAGTCTGCTGTTGTGCTCAGCCAATTTGTCATAAATCCTTTCGATATCAATATGAAATGGGTTTGTTGTCTTTCTAAGTGACAAGAAGTCAACTGCCGTTTTTCCTATAAATTCTTTGGCGTTTTTTCCCGTTTTTGTAAGTTCCATCTCTTCTACAAAGTTGTCAAAAAGGCCACTAGCTTCTAGAACAAGGTTGTATTTTTCCTCAAAGACAGCCGCCTGGAGCAGAGTAAAACCAGATTTTTCATCCACTTGCAAGAAAGCTTTTCTAGAGAGATTCTTTAGACTGACCTGTATAATGGAAATGATCATGTTTAAGAGCGAAAATAATCAAGAGGGAATTCATTTGGCATTACTTTTCAACTATTCTTATCATTCATTCAAAAGATTTACCCAATTGTGATTGGCTAAAAGCACACGCATAATTCACCATAACCAGTTGCTGATGACCAAATTTGGAAGAATTTTGTGTTTAACGTAGCCTGCGAAAACATCCGTTTCTCCTCGCTCTTCGTCGATGAGGAAGTTTTGCGCGGAGGAACGTCTGCGACTCAGCGACAGAAATTCCATACTGATGACGTAAAATCTGTCCGGAATCCGGTCAGAGGCGCTGATTGTTCGATGGAGTAGTTACATTGTTTTAGCTATTGTTTACGAATGAACGACAAAAGACAAAAGGCCACAAAGGTCAAATGCAAACGCGAAGAATCTCAAACAAAATAGTCAATATTTGTGGAATATAGTCTTTTCTAGAAGAAGTATTTGAGTTTTGCTGGAGCTCTTTGGCAGATGAACACATCACTTTACCAAAATCGACCAGAAGACAGGTAAAATTGGACAACTTTGTATTTGGAACCCCATGACTACTGGATTTATTATGTAAACATTGGTTTGCGTCATCAGTATGGAATTTCTGCCGCTGAGTCGCAGACGTTCCTCCTCACGAAACGTCCCCGGCGCCGAAGAGCGAGGAGAAACGGATGTTTTCGTAGGCTATGTTTAACGAGGAAATTACGTCAAAAATGCAGCCCGCTACAGGTTAAGGCACCGTTACCGAGAAGACCTGGGGACGAGGTTGAGTTGTTTTGGTTGTGAAAAAAAAAGGGCGGACATTTCACTCGTTTCACGAGTAAGAACTACAGCTGGAACTAGGCGAAATAATAGCTAAAACGTGGCAAAAGCAGCAAGAAGAGAACTCGGAGGGCGACATCTGCTATTTGCAGAATATTTGCGGAGCTGGACAAACCTAAACGTACACTATCGAAGATGAATTTAACATCGATGCAGGTAAGCATGTTTCAGCTATGTTTTTAAACTAGGAATTATTTTGAATGAAGAATAAAGCAGTTAATGAATTCGGCTTTCGTAGGATATGAAGAATTAAGTAGATCTCGGAGGGTGTTATCCAGCTCAGCCTTCGGCCTCGGTGGATAACACCCTCCGAGATCAGCCTCATTCGTTAATTGCTAACTAATGCAGATAATATATTACGGGAGTTCCGCTACTGCAAATATACTCATTTTAGACAAAATGGGACGGTGTTTGGTTATTATGGTTACAATATATGGCCTCATCAGTGACAAAACGGCAAGCTATTTAAAAGCTGAAAAGTGAGTTTTTCGCACAATTTTTTTAATAATAACTATAAAATTCAGAAAATTTGTATGGAACCAGGGCGTTACAAATCTTAATTATTTTTATTATGATTGTTATTCTCAGAAAACTATCAACTCAAAAATTACTTCTACAATGTCTTGCGTCGAGGGAAAAGACCAACGAAATGTGGGAAACTTGTTCTGGAAGTTGCAACCATTGTTAATTTGTGATTTGCGGCTCGCTAACTTTTCCTTATCTCTAATGCGATTTAGTCCAGCTGTTATCGACCAAAAATATAGCGAATTGTTCACTTTTATAATAATTGATCCTAGGAAAATGAACATTTCCAAAAGCTCTCTGGTGTTCATGCTTTGGTGAATTTGTCGTGAAAAGCATGAAAATGGCTCGAACAGACAACAAAACTGATGTGAGAATTGTCAAGCTGTCAGATGGGGTAGAGTTTTGAAACCAAGACATTCCGGACCCTTCCTCCTCCCTCTCAACCAATGTTGACGTGTTTATTGTTTCCTAAGCTAACCTGATCAGCGGGACAACATTGTTTAGTGGGTAGGGGAGGGAATGATTGCTTTTTCTATTTTTGAAGACGACAGTGTCAGCAAATTGCAAATAAAATGTCGTTGAGGACAAAAGTCTCAGTTAATTTTTGTTCCATTTGGGGAAGTTTCAGAATTTTGATGGCGGCTATCAATGTGGAGGTATTTTGAATGACGCCACTGACTGGGTTCTCACAGCGAAAGCCACATCCCATAATATCGAGATTACATTGAAAAGCTCATCTCAGGCTCTATACAGTGTAATACATTTTTAACTCTTTGCAAATCCTGCAACACAGCAAAAAATCCACTGGAGGTGGGCAGATGTAACTCTCCTCACGGTAACTTTAATACAGCGGTGGGGGCACGGATTTGCTTGTAATGTTGAAAGAACCTTTTATGGAGAACTAGCTGGTTCTTCTTCAACAAATGAGTAGTTACTTTCTTTCTTTAAACTTTCTTTAATCTTCAACAATCTTCATACATCTTCACATTGCAGTATCAGGAACGCACTCTCCAAATATCGTTGTCACTCCCGGATTTTATACTACCCAGCAACCCATCCTCCTAACTCAAATTAATGCTTAAGCAACTCTTCTGTGATTGGTTAAAGAAAACGCATTTGCATTGAACCTTCGAGATAATTGCTTCGCCGAAGTGATCTTTTAACCTGAATTTTCGCCATGAAGCTTGGGTTGTGTCAATATAAAACGAGGTGACCAATATAAAAAATTACAATTTAACTGCTTGTATACAAGGTTTTGATAATAACAGAAGGGGAAAAAACAAATGTACAGTTTAAAACTCTAAGGTTTTTGTCCATTTACAGAGGGTGCTAAGCCTTTACATCGAAAATGATTGGCTAAAAATTTTCAATAAATTAACTCCGGACGTGATCGAAAAATTCAAAGGGCAAATTCAACATGCATTCCACAGTGCAAAGCAGAATTTACAAAAACACCTGTAAAATCACTTAAATCTAATTAAAATTATCTACCGACATAAATTCGGGTGAAACGTCATGAAAACAGGCCAAAAATGGTTAAAAACGATTAAGGTACTCATTGCCTGGAAAATATGGACGGATGGCCAAATAGAGGTCAAAAATGTTAAACTGAACAAAGTGCGCAACTCAAACAAGGCTTTGTCACCTATCAAAAATTCTAATTAAACATACTTTCATTAAAGAAATGTTACCGCGTAGACGCACCAAAATGGAACATCCGCTTTACATCGAATTCATGTCAGGAGACGGTTTATGTTGATGACTATTTTTAACGTCGAACTTGTATACGAAAGTGTAGCTCTAAACAACTAATAAATGAGTCTTTATGATACCCAACATAACATACCGATAAAATATGCCCTAGTTAACTCATCATACAGTCACCACTGAAGAGCATCCCCTTAATTTTATGCATAAATCAAACTGGGTGGTAAGAGTAAACTAGATCAAGCTAAAATTTCCAGTGCATTTCCATTGCTTGCATTTTTATTGTTTAACAGCAAGTCGAGTTTTCAAAATAAGCACTCTACCGAAACTGCGGTAGTTTACCTCACTGATTATATTTTGGAACACATGGATAGGCAAATGATTACAGGAGCTCTGTTTATTGACTTGAAAAAAGCTTTCGACTTGGTCGACCATGAATGTTTGCTTTTTAAGCTAGAACACTACGGAGTCAGAGGAAGTAGTCTGGACTGGTTCCGGAACTATCTTACCACACGAACTCAAAGAGTGCAATTTGGAAACGACTTGTCCTCAACACGAGCAATCCGTTTTGGCGTCCCCAGGGTTCAATTTTGGGGCCTCTGCTTTTTGTTTTATACATTAATGACCTGCCCCAGTGTTTAGAAAACTGTTCTATTAATATGTATGCCGATGATACTGTAATGTATTTTACGAATCTTTGCACCTCGGAGATAGCTAGGGTAGTACAGGATGATTTAAATGGAGTTGTACAATCGATGGAAAGTAGCAGGCTTATCCTTAATCAGAGTAAAACAAAATCAATGCTCTTTGGAAGTTGGAAGAATCTTGCCAAATCACCAAATGTTTGTATACAGTTATACCGAAAGACTTTAGAAAGAGTAGCTGAATTTAGCTATTTACGTGTTGTTTTAGATGAGACCCTTTCTTGGAAAGATCACGTCGAGTATGTAAGCAGCAAAGTCTGTAGGAGGCTAGGGCTTTTGTCTCGTAAACGATCATGTCTCACGCTGGAAGCCTCTAAACAGTATACACATCACTCTTGTAGCCATTATTTGACTATGCTGATGTTGCGTGGGGGAAAATCGCAGAAGGGTGTTGCAAAGAGTTATACCGCCTATAGAACCGTGCAGCTCGAATTATATTACGGAAGAACACCTCAAATGAAACTTTCTGTGTGCTAAACTGGTTAAATCTAGCATTCATAAATGCATTCTAATTTTTAAGTGTTTAAATAATCTAGTACCCAAGTATCTTACGCAATATTTTACAATGAATACAATGTGTTTATTTTAATCATGTATATACCTTAGGAATTTTTAGATAGTATACTTTTTTATTTGTCAGGGCCCCTATGGATACCAGCCTCGTTGCTGAACGGGCTACCCTGATTAAATAAAGTTACTTGCTTACTCACTTACTAAGTCTAATAGTTAAAGTTGAGATGCATTTTCTAAATAATAGTGTTTAAAATTTAAGATTTCTCACTGTGATACATCGAAACGTCGAGTAACTTTTTTTTGTTAAATGCCTCAACAAGCAACTGACTATCGAATAGGGTAGTCATATTTCCCCAGTGTCTCCAAAACAATTTAAAGATCTTACGCGTATAAACGAAACGCCAGAACCGTAGACATTAACAACTTAGAAATAAAATGTACGATGAAACCGGTATTAACCGGACAGACACGCGACTTTGCTGGTTTCCACTATTAATGGGTTTGTTTTACGGTAAGCTCGAAGTAAAAAAACGTTTGAGAAAAACTGAGCCACTCAAGCGCTTAATATGGTGTACTTTTAATATAAGATTCACTATACTGTGATCTCCGGATTGGCGTTTTAGGTCCTACAGTAACGTTCCACATTATCAACAAAGAATACAACAAATGTAAGCGAATTTCATCTGAAAAACCAGGTTGGCAAGAAGTAAAAACAATCTGATATCTTACTGGTTGATGAAGACTTAGTCTGGCATCATTCTTCAGCAGCAACTGCACAATGGAGTGGTGGTTTTGACGTTCAGCTTTTTGCAGAGGTGTACGTTGAAACTAAAAACATCACAAGTAGGGTAATACGTATTACTTACCACTTGCCATTTACCAAGGGGAATATTCTAACTACCGGTACCGTGAATGATCTAATAAACGCCCACTTCCAAATAAACGCCTCTCATCTAATAAACGCCCCCCGCCCCCCCCCCCCCCACGCTGTTAAATTTGCATTAAACGCCCCTCTCTAATAAACACCCCCTATCTAAAAGATGCCCTCTATGAGAATGACTCGAAATACTAGGAATTAGCAAGAAGGTGCAAAATCATTCAAATTATTCAGTTTCTTAATTTCTTGATTAACGACGCTTTGCGTACTTCATCTTGCTCAATGTCAAGTTAAAAGTAAGGATAGACTAATGATGACAACACAATACCCTGAGGGAGGATTCGGACATCGATGTTGGCCGGAATTAAAAGAGCGATATGGATCTCTACACGGCCTAGAATGATCAATTGATAGATATAAATAGGTGCGATTTGAAAGAGAGATATATAATCTCTAGATGGCCCAAACGTATCAATTTATTGATGGAGTGGATATTGAATTCCTTTTTAACTCTTTTAATGTTTTCGCCGAAAGCATACTAGTTTTGTTGAGCTTGTTACAGTTATGAGAATAAACGGCTCTCTTTTTTAAACGTCTCCTATCTCATTAAACGCCCCCGCCTGGACTCTTCAAATTAAATAGACGCCCCAAGCATTTATTGGGTCATTTAAGGTATGTCTACATAAGGTAGCTACCACTATAAAGAAAATTGCATCAAGGTGGCTGGAACCAGTCTTTTTGCAGCTACACCTTCCATTTTTGAGTCTCCTGTACTTCTAAATTGATCTTTATTGTAAAACCATTATATAACATTAGCTCAGTTGGGACCAGGCTCCGTAGTGGAGGGAATAAGCAAAAACGGGATGAAACAGCAAAAAATCGGCAAGCCAAGCAAGCCGAGTGGTGGACTGGGGAGGGGGGAAGGCAGCCGAGCTCCTTCATCTTTATCCCTCCCCAGACCCTCTCGCTCGCTTCGCTCGCCGATTTTCTTCACTTTCCCCCGACTTCAGAGCCTGGTCCCAGGCCATTATGTATTACACATAAACTAACAGGGGATATTCATAGCTTATTGCTTCTGTTCATTACCTGCAAACTGCACCAAAAGCAGTCTGGTAAAGGAACCCCGAGCATTGTTGCAAAAAGATCTCTGAAAATCCCTGAAGGAACTGCATAATAAGATATTCACAAAAGTAACAGTCCCGTGGTTGTCAACTAGTTGTAGTAAACTACGTTGACTGTAGACGTTCATGGTCTCCTGGCAATATATTGTTTAACTTACAATGTATAAAACGCTTGCAAAACTCACCCCGTCTTCAGCGTTGACGTTTGCACCATGTTTCAACAAAAGTTTAACAACAGACTCCTGTCCGTACCAACAGGCAAGATGAAGAGGGGTCAGAAAAAACTACCGAAAATAGAAAAATACAACGCAGTTAGATAGCGTGGACACTGAGAAGCCAGCTAGTTCCGTTTATAAAGATGGCGCTGCAAAATAACCTTAGAGGCTGTTATTGGACTAATTTTACGACCAAGCCAAAAATAAAGCCAAAACGTCTTTACTTTATCCTCTTTAGTTTATTTGAAACAAACCAAGTGGAAACACTCCAACTGAGCCCAAATGCAATGTTTGTAGGTCACTTTCTAGCAGAAATTGGTAGTCTAGACCAATTCTTTTATTAAATTCAGAGACCTGAATACCGTCCAGAACATCCTCAGGTTACCATCGTAAGAAAGAATAAAACCAACAACGACAACAACAACAACAAACAAAACAGACAACTAAATAAATTCTCTACAGCGCTTACACTTAGACATTTCATGTTGAGCACGTAGTTGGTTCTAGCAACATTTCCTCTATGACTTCACAGTTTACGATCACCCGAGTAACAGTAGTCCTGGGCCCAGTTGTCGAAACGGTGGATACCGTTATCCACCGGATAAATCACTATTTAAGGCTGGTTTTCACTAGCGACGGAGTCGGAGTCGGAATCGTAAGCGAAGTCTCAAGAGCGACGGAATCGGAGTCGGAAGAATCAGAAAGTTTCCATTTTCTTCCGATTCCGCCAAAAACTCCGTCGCTTATGATAAAGTGAAAATCAGATGTAGGAGTCTGAAGCAGAAGTGGAAGGGTAAACCAATCACAATGACGTTCCCACGCTTTGTGATTGGCTTAGTTCTTCTGCTTCTGCTTGCGACTCCGACGACCTAGTTTTCACTTGATCGTAAGTGACGGAGTCGTAAAGGGAATCAGAACGGTGATTTCACTAGACCGTAAAGTTCTATTCTGATTACAACTCCGATTCGATCGCTAGAGAAAACTAGTCTTTAAGGAAACATTAGCGCAAGATTTAATTTCATTATCTTATTCTTTAATTGAAGAAAGTAAGAATCCCCAAGCCAAGCGAAAGCGAGAAGTCGGGCTTGAGGCTTCGCACAAAATTTACATAAACTGGAGAAGACTAAAACCTGATCTCTTTGATCCACATCTTCACCACTTTCAAGAAGCATTTTGACTGTCTTGTATTCTCCACTGACAGCAGCCTTGTGTAAAGGGCCTCTCGACGCCTGCTTAAAAACATATCGAGTAACGAGACAGTAATTAAGAAAGGATCAATTTAAATCACACCAGTTAATAAAATCCAATTCCACCAGTCTACAAACCATCCTCTCGGTTATTTGTTATGACATAACAACCTTTACCGGGATTCACTAGTAAATGTCTGTCCATTCGAAAACTATATTATTTGTATCTGTTTGGATACTGGAGATATTAACTCAGACCTAAGCAAACGTCCCTCTGGGTGTTCTACTGTGAAAGGGTTCGTTACACTGCAACTCAAAATAAACTCCTGGCCTGCCAGAAATGCCCAAGTGGTAACGACTTGTACACTAATCAAACTCAGTCGGTTATCAATTTGGCATTTTCCAATCTTTCATCAAGTGTAATGCACAAAGAGCGCGCACTACAATACATCTCTCACTGAACTTACTTTTGCCTTCTCGGCTCTCTCCGTATGGGTCAGGACCTGTTTCTTGTCCTAGAATGATTAACAACTATATTTATAAACGGTTCTGCAATATTTTAAAAGCCGAAAGTTTTATAAAGAAGCACTTCTACAGACAAAATAGGACATCCAACTAATTAAAAGCCACCTAGCGACACTTTCTTTTCAAAGTTGTCTTATGGTTTTAGAAAACAATGATACTTTAATTGAGTCAATATAAAGATTTAGCCGAGGCTAAAGACGAATCTCATGTAACTATTATATTTACTTCAAACAATTATTTTGTAACCATCGCAAAGAAATGAGCCTGCCATCAGTTGAGAATTAATACCTTTTCAGCGGAGAACTTAAAAAAAACTCCTGTCCATGATGGGTCGACAACTAAGCCCACGACATAGTCATGTGATACTGATCAGTATCAGTAAATTCGATCAGTGGATGCCCTGTTTTGACAGCTGTCAATTCACCACAACATATATGTGCAATATCAGGTTGCAGGCTCCCATACTAGCCAGAGAGAGTGACAATTTACATTGCTTTCCCTGTGGTACAGACGGACGGGCAAACGTACGGTCAAGTGACTACTAAAATTTTGGCTGTGAATAAACAACCGAATTTTCTTAGCTACGGGGCTCCGCTCGCGATCGCTTTGCGCAAAAACAAAAAGGCAGATTACAACCCTCATAAAATAAGACTGACGCGATGAATATATTTTCATTACCATTCCCTTAACACTGCAGTGTAAAGTGGCTACTAAAAATTTTGGCTGTGGACAGATAACGAAGTTTTCTTAGCTATGGGGCTCGACACTTTAACAAACAGCCAAGACGCACTGCTCAATTTTTTACCTTCTAGGCAGGGGTTTCGTTTCAGGCCGGACGCCGGACGCAACGTCCGGTTGTTTGACATGTAACGTCCGGCAGTTCACACTCGAAATAATTATTTTTTTTAAGTGTGAAAATCGTTTTTTTTCCATTTATTAACCAAAGAAAGACTTGACCCTTATTTTATTTACTTAGTTATGTAATGCATACAATCGAAAAAAAAAGAGATGACTCCTGTCATAATTCCGGTTACCCAATTCCGGTCCAGGGAGCGCAGCAAATTGCATTTTAGGGAGCCCAATTTTACAAATTTCCCGGGGGGGACATGCCCCCGGACGCCCCTAGGAGTTCGTGCCTCCGGCACTCAACGTTCGCACCAGCGGAGCGAACGGTGCACGTCCGCCAGCTGAACCACTGCATCCGGTACTTCCAAATGCTACCGAAAATCCTGTCTAGGTCTTTACCTATTTTCAGTTTTAATCGTCAGTACAAAGCGGCCTACCTCACATTTATCTGGGCTTTTGTCAATCGTTAGTGAAGCTGTCTCTTGATCTGATTCGGCTGAAAGAGACAAATCACTACTAAATAACATATCTAGTGTGAATGTACTGTTACAAAAATAATACTCACAGCAGGTAAAATTACTGTACGCAACATGAAAACTGTAAACCCTATACAAACATTCACCTGTTTCACTTGCTGGCCTGATTTTAAAATATTAAAGGCTACGTTTGAGAGGAAATATGAGAATCCAAAGAATTCAACTGAGAGCAATTATACACTGTAAACATAACGTTTTTATTTCTTCTTTGCCGTGAATTTTTATCGAGGTCAACTAATTTCTCATGCACTGTCAATTTATTGCAAACAGTTTCAGGAAAGTAATAACAGGCTTGGGGGATTTTCTATCGTTCGCATATTTAAGACCCCCTCCCCCTTGCAACTGACCTATGACTCTTGATCTAAGATATCTGCTGTAGAAATGCAGCAGAGGCTATAACAAAAAAACAGCATTTTTATCAGGGTTTTAAGTAGAGAAGGTAACCTGTAGACCTTTTTACCGATACGGCGGCCATATTGAATTAACTCGATTGGAGGAGTATTATAGGATGCCCGGGGGGCATGAGCACATTTCATTTGTATTTTCGAGCGCTTTTCGGGAAATTTTTTCTCAAAGTTTTCTTAGAATAAGATTGTACTGGGAAAAAAGATCCTTGTGCCGTGTTTGGACGTAATAAAGGTCGCCTTTTCCTAGTTTAGTATTAGAAATATAATCTTTCACTGTATATTTCTCGGAAAAAAAGGCTATCATCATTACATCCAAAGGCGGTACAAAGATCTTTTTTCCCATTACAATCTTATTCTAAGAAAACTTTAAGAAAAAATGTCCCTAAAAGCGCTCCAAAATGCAAACAAAATGTGCTAATGCTCCCTGGGCATCCTATAATACTCCTTAAATCGAATTAATTCAATATGGCCGCCGCATCGGTAAAAAGGTCTATTGTGGCCTTCTGTAAGCAAATTGTATTTTCAGGTCACTGATTACAGCTTTTAATTGTTGCTGCCGTGCATTAGCCGCAGCAGACCATATTCTTGAGCGATTTGAGATTTTTGGTTCAATGGTTCGATGTTCAATCAGTCTGTGACTGTAGCGCTTTGCAGTGGGCGGTTTGTTTAAGGCAAGTGCGTAGCTGGGGCGCCTGTTTTTCTCTTAGGAGTAACCCGCCATTTTGTTTTGTTCCCGGTATTTAAATAAGATCAGTGCGCCAGAAATCGTAGTCCATCGGATGTTTGCTGCCTTTTTAACGGCCCAAACGGTAAGAACAGTTCAAGAAGTATTGTACTGAACATTTTTTTTCTCGGTTTATATTTTTCAAGATTAGTTATAGCGAGTACACTATTCTTTTGTCACACAGATTGTTATCTCGGGAATCAGGATTGTAAGTTAAATAGGTGAACGGCATGTGCTGTACGTCTACCTGACCTATGAATTAACAAGTTCTGGCCTTCACAACTCTCCTCGCTATGTGTGGCATGATCGTCAGCGATGCGACCAAAGATTACATGGGTTGTTCGATAAAGAAACAGCCTATCAGCACTGCCGTTGTTTTAGCATTTAAAGAATGATTAAAATGAATTACAAAATCATATTGAAACGAGTTATCTGAATGTAAGGATATTTGTCATTTGTGTTCGGTTCATTTTTTATATTTGGCTCTGAGTGCTTCATAATTCTAACAAGTCTAAGTTAAAAATTCATACGTTAAACTGTTTTACATACTGCCTTTGTCCTATTCGCATCGCAACTAACGGCAGTACTTCCCTTCTCAATGAGAACTTCTAGTTTTAATAGTTTAAATTGAGGTCAATTTCTTATAAAGAGCTTTCAGGCTTACATGATTTTTCCAATAGAAGATCCTTACAAATCAGGTAGTTTTCTTCTTCAATAGTTGTCTCCAGCCCGATACTCTCCAAGTTCGGTTTCTTCTTTATGTCATCAGTCACAAGGTATCGCTCGGCAACGTCATTAAGATGACCAGACTGATAGTCACTCCACAAACTTTCAAGGCTCTCCAAGGAGGGGCACCGAAATGTTATTTCTAGAGATCCTATACCCACAGATTGCAAGGCCATGTTGTGCGTGCCCTTTATATATTCAATCAGGCCAGACACTCCTTCTGGGGTTGCAATGATACGATGTTGGAAGTACAATTGTATTTGTCGTTGTAAAGTATCGTGGACTACTTTACTCTTTTCATCATTAAGGTCTTGAAAAAAATGCTTTGTAGTAATTTCTGAAACATAGAAAACGCGCCGAGAAATAAATGTCTTTATTAACGAAACCCAAAATATCGCGAGAAACGTATTCTAGAATACTATACATCGCTCGAAAGTCAACACCTTGCACTGGTTCCCAGATTTGAACCCTCAGAAAACAGCCGACATTTCGCGACGACACCCCGGCCTTGTTCCTTTACGAAATGACGTCTGAGAAACAGAACGAACACGGAAAGTAGTTCCATACTGATGTCACGGTAGTGACACGTCGGCTGTTTTCTAAGGCTACAAGATTTGAAGTATTCTCAGAATCCAGGATAAAGTGTGGTGTTAAACCAGAGTTGGTAAATAAAATGGGTAATGAATTACACTACATACACTATACTATTACAGTGTAACGGTAACAAGTTCTGTGGAAAAATGCACCTTTGGGTAACCTAACAATTACTCTATTCTTTACAGATAAACTAGTAGGCAATAGCAAGGAAAACAAATCATGTTATTGTTTACCTGGATCACCAGAAGATTCTGAATTTTTACGCTTACGGCTGTTTTGAGACTGAGAGACGTTAACTGTAAATATTTTAGTTTGATTTCCTGGTACAGCATCAGTTTTTTTCTGACAGTTACTATCAACAGACGTTTCTGAAACGAGCTTCTCGCCAACATGGGAGAACATTCTTGGCTTACTGTCATTTTCCATAAAAGGCTCTGCGAAAACAAACCATGGTTACAAAAAATAATTTCATTGAAACATAAGGCTCAGTCAGTCAGTGTGGAATATTTTCATCAAAGGTCTGCTAAGAGGTGGGGAATTTTTTTATTGAGTAATTTCACAATTTCCACTACTTCAGTTTAAATATAGGTAAAAAACGTTAAAACTTTTCAGCAACGAGGTAGTGTGTATATGAAGATTGATATTGTGAATGTGCTTTAATTATTCTTCCCAGATGGCTCGATAGATAAAAAGGAAGAGCACCGTGTACTGCTATATTTATTTAGTAGTAAAATAGTTTATGCATTCAGTCCGACACATGTGATGTCCAACGTTTAAACCACATCTTATACATGTATCAATTACGTGTGTAAAGTTATGTGTACTTATGCATGTACAGGTATGTACCACACAGAATCCCTTTTGCTGATGAACACTCGTTCATAGGCAACATCACCCGTGATTTCATTGATTATAAGTCTTTCACAATACCTTTATGGTCCACTGTTATGCTTTCCGTCCCATGAAAAGCCTGGCGCTTTGTTTCCAAGGAGATCGCGGCCTTTAAAGAATCCGCCTCTGTGAAAAAAAATGGACGAAAACAGTCGGCGATTACAGTAGAACCTCGATTTAACGAAGTGCCAAGGGATTGGGGAAATTTGTTAGTTGTATCGAGGGTTCGTTATACCGAACACCTCGATTTAACGAATTTTCGAGAAGACAACAAAAATGTTCGTTATATTGAGGTATAGTTAATAATCAATTTACAAAACCCAGCATTCCCGGATGTGAACAATGGCTTAGTACCGAACTGTTCATAGAACAAGCATTTAATACAAGCTTTTTACAAAATAATGTATATACGTTTTTGTAAGCCATTCACATCTCCACCACCCACAACCACCCATGAGGAACCAAGTCCGTGACGACAACTGTGTTCCTTTTATGTTGTGGAGACCCTTATTCTAAAAGTCATAGAGCTTTTCATGTATTTAAATCCACTTTGACAACTTCCAATACGATTTTAAAAGGTGTGCACAAAACATTTAAGCTCAAGAAGCAATAGGAATTCAGAGTCGATTCGATGGTAAAGCATGCTACTAAACATCATAACTTTTTAAAGCGCTATAGATCCATTTTAAGATTACATTCCAAAACGGTTCCTATCCGGTTATACAGTCAGCTCTTTCAGGCTTTGAGGTACATTATTATAAAGGAAAAGCAGGCATCTCAAAATTTCAAGTAGCCAATTTTATTTTTGCATGATTGTCACTGCCCAACATAAAACTTACTGTTTTTGAATGGTGTCCTTCAGTAGCATTTTATATAACAACACTGGAAGGTGATTTCTTAGGAAAGCAATCGTTTAGGATTGTAAAAGGGTATATTTCGTACCATGACTCATTTTCCAGAGTCTGTTCACAAGGGCTTCACATTGCTCCTTCCAACTGTACATGTCCCCATACGAGGTTCTTAGTGCTTTAATCTCTTCCAACCGCATTCGATGCCTGACACGAACAGCTTCTATTGCTTTTGCCCACTCTGCTGGATCATCTGAATTGACGATGCATGAATAACCATTTGGAACATTTTCTAATGTTTTGGCAAATCCTGACTTACAACCAACAAGAATGGGTAAACCTGCAGACAAGGCCTCAAGTGCGACAAGACCAAATCCCTCCGATTTTGATGGCATGATGGCAAGGTCAACTTCACACAACAAATCTTTCAGTCTCTCTCTACATTGTACAAATTTTCTCACAGTCAACTGTGCTTCCGCAATACCACGATGACGGAGTTTGTCTCTAACGTCTTCTTGCTTTCCTTCAGGCGCTCCGACAAATATTAGATGGTAAGGTTTGTTTTTTAGCCGTTGATCAGTAAATGTTTGAGCAGCAATGTTGTATCCCTTCAGTTCAAAGTCCTCAACATCTCCACGACCAATTAGCAGTACTTTAAATTTAGCATTCTCATTAGTGGTTTGCGTTAAATCCCCAAACTCCCTTTGGAAAAGGCCTGGAGTAATGGACAAAACTTCGTGATCTGTCTTACATCGCTGCAAATATGAAGAGCATGCTTCTTTAAGTCTGGGTCCCACAGGCACAACAATGTCAGCAAGTCTGCAAAGTTCAACTTCTGATTCTTGTTTTGTTTCACCTTTTGAAATGGGGTCACTGTAGCATTTGTATCTGCTCAGGTCCTCTGGAGCAGTGTGAACCACTTGTACCCACTTGCAATTTGGAAATCGAGCAGATTCTCTGATGAACTGTACTTGCCGACCAACTTTAACACCATGACCAACAACGATGTCCATCAAGTGGTCCTGGGGTGGGATGCTCAACCAATCAAGACGATCATATGCTGCACGTTCTTTCGCCTCAACAATGGTGATTCCATAGCCATCAGCTTCTCTTATTTCTTCAGTGCTGCAAGCTTTTTCTGGACACAATAGAGATACATTTACTCCTGACTGCTGGGAAAGGTGAATAGTAAGCTCTCTGTTTATTGTTGACAACCCACCAGCAGATGAACCCCATTCATCACCAAGAAGAGTAACGTTCAAGGTTCCGCTGGTAGCAGATAACGCACCCTGTCCAGTTGCTTTCTGTGGTATGGTTTCATTTCCGCTTTTAAAAAAGCTAGTCTGAAGGAAAGAATTATAGTAATGAGAACGAAAAGCCACTTGAAAATGCTGGCGAATTTTACATTGTTAATTGTCAGAAAAACCATAAAATAGTGGCCTTGGTGGGTTTTAAGTTGCGAGTTGTACTTTAAAAGTTTGAAATTGTCTTCAGAAACAAACAAACAGTGACAGTTACAGCACGAAATTTAAAATATGTGTTAATTTCCGGTTCTAATCGTTTCAAAAGGCAGAATTTAGAACATATTTTGTTTTTAAATTCTTAGGGTAAATTCTGTTTCGCAAACAACGTCTACTTGTCCTGTCAGCCTTTCACTATCCAAAAAGAAAAGCATAGGAGAACTGTGATGTGGTTAAGATGGACGGCCGTGTGTTTAAGTGCTCCGCGTAACATTTCGTAAATTTCTGATGTTTAAGTGTTCCTTCTGCTTTTTTCTATTTGTTTTGTTATCTTGTTTCGTGTGTCATATTATGCCTGAGTCTATTGCCAACCTAAAGAGAGAAAATAACGATCTCAAATCTAAAGTTTCAACATTAACGGAGGAGATTTCAAGACTAAAAGATTTATTTCAACAACAACGCAGCAGTGCCGCCCCTTCTGTTAAAGAAAAATCTCACAGCCTTGAATTCCTTTCGTAAAAAATAAAGGAATTATTACTAAGTTTCTTGCGGTCAGAAGATGATTATGTCGAAGTCTTCCGTCTTATTAAGTTATTTAATACTTTAGGTTAGCCTCTCTTCGTAATCGTTATGTACTTGCCTTGTTTTATAGCTTTTTATGTTAGTTTAAATTCTATTTACTGTATAATCATAACTACAACAAAATTCTTAAATCTGATTGACTATCAACTGCCCTGATTTCAGCCTTAATAGGACAGTTAAATAGGACAGTACGCGCCATCACGCGCGCGCTTAAATGGCTTTTTTTTTTCACTGCTAGCAAAAGAAATCTCGGAGTTTCTTGTGTTTTGATTAAAAAAAATGAGCCTAATATATCACAAATTTTGTTAAAGTTATGATTTATTGGTAACAGAACTTCGTGTCGTCCAATTCGGTCTGTAATCATACTCGTGATTAAACAAATCGGACTCCCGCTACGCGGTCGTCCGATTTTGTTAATCACTCGTATGATTACAGACCGAACTGGACTCCACTAAGTCCTGTTACCATTACTAATAGTGTCTTCACTGTTATTAATAGTCCATCTATTATTTATTCTTTTTTTAACAATGTAATTAGTTATTGGAACAATTTACCTAGTAATGTTGTTGAAGCCGGTTCCCTTGAACTTTTTAAATGTAAACTCAAATCCTTTTTAAAGTTGTAATTTTTATTGTTTGTTTGTTGTTTTTAGGAGAGTTTTATTCATAGGGTTAACCTCTAGACTCTCCCTTTCAAATTCATGTAGTTATTACGAGTTTGAATAAACATGTATGTTATGTTATCTATATATAAATCTTGTTTTGTAATATGTCTTAAGCTCACCCCGCCTCGATTAGTTTATAAGCTATTTGCGGGTGGGAAAGTAATGTAATTAGTTATTTTCCAATTTTCAATAGAATTTGTTGTTGTTGTTGTTACTGTTCCTTGCCCTAAATTAAGGTCACACGCAAACATCCCGAGCAATACTTTGCCAAAGTTAAGATTTAGCCAAAACTATGGGTTATTTCTATAATCCCTTACGCCGTTAGGCCTGAAACTATTTTGGGAGAAAAATTTGCCACAAATTTGCCTATAACGTTTTACTAAAAAAAATGAAAGCTTGCGAGTCAAGTGAAGCATTACTACAAAAGATATAATACATACTTCCTTCAACAGGTTTGCATTTGAAAACAAACAAACAAACTCCGTCTGTGCGTAAAAGCTTGGAATTGTTTCGTGTTTCAATCCAGGAAACCGAGGAACCATAATCAATAAATTCACCGAAGAAAGATACTTCATATTGTTACTATGGTCTTGTTTTAGTACCCCATCATATCTGCCCCTTACTATTAAAGATTATTGCGCCAGTCAAGGTTTTAGACTGATTAAGGCTTTTTATAAAACAAGTGAAAACAGAAAACCTCGTGAGAAGTCGGACTGTTGACGTTCCATGTTTCTTTCACATTTTGGAGTTGGCCAGAAGATGCAGCCATCGCTCAGTGGTGGAGGAAAATGCAGATCCTCGGTGATGTACTGCTAAGTTGTCTGTGTAACTGAAAAATTGAAGATGAAACTCACTTTTTACTATTAATATTATCTAAGGTATTCCTCTATAAATAAAGACATATGGTTTTTACTAAATCCTAACATCCCGTTTCCAAAACTGTTATCAAAAGAAACTATATTATCACATCAGATTAATTTTATCTCATCATGCCCCGGATTGAGAGACAAATTTCTTTCCAGAGTACTTACTCCCACTGTATGAATACTTTAAAGTAAGCAACTATTTTTTTTTATTTTTAATTTTATTTTAAGTTTCTCTAATTTAAATTAACGAATAAAAAATTATTTATTAATAGCATTTGCAGCACTGTACATGATACTCTTGCAGCAGTGTAATACTCAGATCTGCTGGAGAACATAAAAGTTTGCTTCTTTTAACTGAGTTGGAAATAGGCAATTTAACTCCGGAAAGGGGTCGAAAACTGTCGTCTTGAGCTGTAGCCCCTGGTCAGATCGAATCAAGGGATCGTAGGTTGTGTATTGCTTACACAATTGTGGTGTTATTCTAAAAATTGGAACATGGAAAAAATTTTTTAGCTGCTCCCAAATAATTTCAAGCACACAACACAAATATGACCTAACAGGAGCTGGCAGGAGGCAACCAGGCAGAAGAGCAAGCATGGCAGAAGATTTAAACTCAAGACGACCGAAAAACACACCCAACTTGTGGTCAGAACTGGAATCGCCGGATTCCGAGTCCGACGAGCTGACTACTCATCCACGCTGCCTCCTCATGGTACCATACCGGAACAACAACAAAAGTAAATCGTTGAATGAAAAGCGTTCATTGATTCCGTGAGAATTCAGAGTGCCATACGTTTTGCATTAATTTTTGCAAATCAGCTCACTGCGGAAAGAACTTAAGTGTATCACAGGCGGAAATTAAGCTACCGTTCCGCGAACCTGTTATACGAAATGTGCATCAAAACCAGAAGGGTACCATTTTAACCCTCCGAATCATTCTACGGATATCATTTTGCAATCTGCGGTCTTTCCTCATACTAAGGCAACACGGAAAGCCGCAAAAATGTACCGAAAAAGGAAAGGCAAAAGTTACTAAATTAGAAACAAATGTAAGAGCTGGTGTCGCATTACAGGCTTTAGGCTTTTATATAATTAACAATTGACAACAAAGTAATTGCAGCTAAAAAACTCAACTTGGATATGAGTTAAGAAAATTGATCTCTACGCACGGCGGATTGGAGAACCGATTAACTTTTAATTTCTTTTATTTTTCTTTCAAATGGATCATCATGCATAGAAGCATGATTTGTAACAATGGAATAAATGTTTGATATATTGAATGACAGCCAGCTACCAGAAAGTTGACCAATGAAAACTTTTAAAACTAGACAAAGGTTTATATTTATTCGGACTAATGCACACACATTTATATGCCAGTATACATCAACCGTGTCCAAATAATGATTAAAGATTAAAAAACAAAACGAGGCTGCCAAAGCCGTTATTTATAACTGAAGCTACAAGTATTAAATGTAAAATAAGTAATGTGTTAGGAATCAACCAACTTCAACCGTCCTGCATGTAGTACACGATAAAACTTTTACAAACGAAATGGCAGGCAAGACAGACAAGTTCTGCATTGCTGAACACGCCTGGCGGGCCTTTTTTTATCCCTTTCATGATAGTGTTAAAACGACCGCCAGTTTGCGTCGAAGCGACTTGTCTTTGTTTAGCAACAACTGAAACTGCAAGTTTGAAATGAAACGACCTGAATCCCACACCTTAACGTTTTCAATGCTCTATACAAATATAACTTGAGGAACCCTACTTGAATCTATACAAGAACGGAAGTTAATATCCAGAATTTCTTTGCGTAAACTAGCACCGTTATTCGGTGTTCAGTGCTACATTTACCTCAGAGAATAAGGCTTGTAAGCATTCGAATCTAGGTAATCACTATTGGTATTTATGATTGTAGTAGGAGCAATCGATCATCCAACTAATGCCTGCTCAGATGCAAATTTGCGAAGGGTTATTCGTTAAGCGTGATAAACAAACTTAATTTTCTTACCTTGCACGCTTAAAGTCCAACTTTTATCCCTTTCTTCTGGTTATATCTTATTAGATCTGACTTTATGGATTTATCTTGCTGAATCGGCCAACTAACAAGATCTAACTAAACCGACGCCGCCATTTTTAACGCTAAGTCAGCCAAGCGGAATCAGATTTACGGTATTTCTTGCAGAATTCACAGTGACCGTATCAGGGCGCATAAATCGGTTGAGAAACTTTAAGATTCCGTAAAGCCGGAGGTGCTAAGGGCTACGAGTGAACAAACTCACTTCCGGTGACGTCAAACCGGGAGTTTAAGTACCCCTGTGTAGCTGCAGGACTGTTTTTGGGTAGCGCTCAGCACTGCCGGTCCTTTTCTAGCAATTTGGAAACTTCTTTTTTGTTTTAGAGTGGCCAATTCCAAAATTAAAACACGGAATATCAATTTCCGTGGCTGCCCAATGACTTTCTTTCTGCTTATCGATCTTTACTCTGCTCGTTACTTTTTTCTGCTGGTACAATCCAATAAAGTGAAGAACCTGAAATATTCACTTCATCTAAATTTTTTAGTACACATACCCTTGAACTATACGAAAAATCGTACATACGCGCGAGTTCTAGTGTTAATTTTTCCCTTAAAAAGCATATCGCCGTCAATTCTGACAATCGTAGCCCTTTTGTTACGTCATCAGGTAACTCGTATTAGACCTGGACGTAATTAAGTCAATGTCACTCCCACCAGCAATAATTTAAACTAAAACATGACTCCGTTTTACTGAATTTGAGTTAACAATATCATTGTCACACAATGCTCAACCTGTGTGCAGTTACAAAATTTTGCATTCAGACAATGACCGACAAAAGTGTTGAGACATTTCCATGAAGTGGCACCCTTTTTGCATAGTAGACATCTCTATCCCCCCAACCGCTTCCCCCGAAAATCCGAAATCAATGTTGTAAATTAAACTACAACGTACTTGTTGTGGTTCAATTTTATTCTTGGTTTAAATTTTATTTCTCTTTGGTTCTCACTTGTTATCATCCATTAACAGTTCCCAAAACAAAATTTCAACCAGGGAAAAAATTGAACCGCAACATCTACAGTAGTATATCCTTTCCTTAAACTACACTGTAGTTAATTAATTTGTGACAGTACTGACCTTGAATCCCTGATTGAACGTTTTGCATCTTTTTCAGTCTTCCACTGATCTTGATATGAAGAAAAAACAAAACTAAACACTCTCAGTTGCCGTTCTGTGGTCTTTAGAACTTGTTATCTCAGCTGTGCCATCATATCAACACGTTTGGCTTAAAGCAGCTCGGAATTAAGCCGCTCACACTGCGAAGATAAGACTGAGATGTAAGACTGCAGCACTTGAACTGTTCCTGGGAGAGTCTTCAATGAAAGAGTGGATGGTTTTTCCTTACTTTTTTTGCTACTTTCGTTTTGCAAATTAATTCTGAAATACTCCAGGGAGTCTAAAAGTAGTTTTAACATTGATGAAGGTAATGCCCTACACTTCAGCACCTGACAGAATAGCCGGTTACTTTTAAATAACATCTGCTGAAGAGATTCTTGAGTTTGATATTTTATAGTAGAGTTCAACAAAACAGCTGCCTTGCAGACTAAACACACACAACAACAAACTTGTGAAAGTATTTGTAGTTTAAAATGTCCATTTTTGCAATGGTTTTCACTTCCTGCAATTTTCAACAATTTATCAAACACAGCCAAAGCTTCTGTTGAGTTTCCAGCCTTATTACAAATCCTGCCATAATGAAATCCAAGTTCAGCTAAGGGTACTGTAAATTCTCTTCCATTTACAATCAGTTGTTCTTGCTTGTTCGTAAGTGCACTAAAAATGGTTTCAAAGAAGCTTGCTAAGGATTTAGAATCAACATTCTTTGGCCCACAATCCACTTGATACTTAAGAGTGGCTGGCTTCTACAAGTAATTTTAAAGGCCATAACCCTGGATGACATTGTAACAAAACAGCTAGTTGAATGTCCCTTTTCCTTTACCACAAGTTACACTCTGTGATCAAGCAAGAGCATGTTTGAGTTTAATATATTTTTGCTATTCTAAAGTCATTTACATGTACATAAATGTAAGACAAAATGCCAAATACTAAACCAAAACACACATAAAAAAATAAAGCAGTAGACTCACTTCTCCTTCTCAAGATCTTTGTCTCCAACGTCATGCAGTGCCACACCAAACTCAAGCATCACTGAACCATAATGAAACTCATCATCTTGGATAATGTACAACTCCATAAGCTGTTTGATGACCGACATTTGCTCCATGGTGGTGTTGTAACTATAAATAAGAGAAAATATAGACCACTGAATAGTGTACAATACTGGGCAGAGTTGTTCAAAACAGAATTGGGATAAAGTATAACCCAGGATTATCTTCGTTAGAGTCAACAACAGTCCTATTATATTCAGGACAACACTCACCCAGAAAATCATATTTTAGCTACTTATGAAGTGACTCCTGGGTTCAAATGAACCCCCCAAAATGACAATTGAATACACATGTATAAAAATAAGGACAAAACATTTTTGTGAGACTGAGTACAGTGTATAAAATAAAAAGAGACATTTTTTATGAAACCTCATCACCAGCACAGGGCTGTAGCTAAAATTTCACATTGTTGGGTATATCTACAGTTATGTAATTAGTAGGAGGGGAATTGTACAGCTAGGAAGTTCTTTTGGTTCTACATAATGTATTTTACTTTTGTTTCCTACGAGAGTAGCAGGGGCTCACGCTCACAGTCGCCAGCGGAAATCAGTGGACATGTTTCTTAGTGACAGTTCTGACAGCAATACATGCACATGTACACTGTACTTTCACATGACCTTGCAGTGCGACTGGGAAAACCGTGAAGAATTATCTCAAGAATGTCTATTGTGTTATGACTAATCACAGCAAAGTTCAGGACACGCGAACTGACCACAAAACCGCAAACTAACTAATGTTCTTGCTTGCTGTTTAGTTTACTCACGCCTGATTGGCTTTTCTCTTGCAAGACAATAGCATTCCAGAAATATTTCTCGTGTTCACAGTTTTCCCGGTTTGACTGTAATATTTCTTTCCAGGATCTGGTTCATACACGATTGTATGCTAATGAAAGAGCTAAATGGACAATTAAAAAGGAACTCTTTCCCTGTTTCTGCAACAGGTCCAGAAACCTTGTGATGTCTGTCTTTTTGGGAACTTACTTCTTTGCCTTGTAAGAAGCAAGCTCTTCCTGAAGAACTAAACAAAGCTGACTGCTGTCAATATCTTCAGTATCTTTCTGTTCTGCTAAAACACTGCACAGGGTTCTACAGTAAACAAAGAAAAATAGAAAGACAGGTAAGACATGACATAATGTATTGGACTAAAAGAATCTCAAACGTTTTAGAAAAGAGCACCTCACTGAAGGATTCATGCAGTTGTAATAAAAATATGACATCTTCATGTATTCTCAGCCAGTGGTGAGTGTGTAGTTTTTTATATGAAAATTAATTTTCTAATGAAAATTCATGACAAACCTTGATCTTTCAGCTTGTTTCTTTTCATCTTGCATACTTTTCACCAGTTCATGTTTCACTGTGGTCCATTGTTTGATCTGCTGCCTTAAGACATTTGCATCAGAACCAGTATGAAGTGTTATAAGAACCTGAGTGGTAGCTGTTGTCAGTGCACCAGCCATCTGTTTGGCTCGTCGCTGACAGTCAGTCAACAGTGCAAATTTTGTTAGGAGCTTCACCTAAAAGAAATCAGTTATATTATTAATGATGGCATGACAGGACAGATTACTGTAAGACCCATCTGGTGGGTCAACATCACAAGTGTTTGCTTCCATTTCTCAGGAAAAAAGAAAATCACTGATGTGGCATTTTATGCACAGTGCAAAAAAAATGAATCACAAGTATTTAATCAGGGGTTTCAATAATAATTTAAGTAGCCAGCATGTTTGAATAGAGTAACCGACTGTATCAACAAGGGTTCGTTAGTCCCTTTCTTCAAGAGGGGTCTGCGGGCTGGAATTTCAAAGCCCTAAAATGCGATTTCCAGTGTTCCGGGGACTAATTTGAGAACACAAGAGAGTGCTTTTCAATCAAAAAAATATAGTTTTCATTCAGGTTTCACAGCCACACAATCCATTCTATTTATATTATTTTATTATATTTTATTAGCTTTGCCCTGAAGAATAAAAAAAAAAAAAAAACCCGGAAGATATGCAAACACTAGTAACAAGAACATAACAATACACCAACAATAACTTATAGGGACACCGCAACAGCAAAAGCCAATTACTGCGGACCCAAAAAAGATATAAAAGTAGCAATTTAAATCACATGCAGCAGCTAATTTCTTGGTCTAAAAACCTGGCTGTGTTACATTTCAAGCAAAATTAATACTTTTGAAGGTCATTAGAGAGTCCGGGTCATAGTTTATTGCTAGAGCCTGCGAGTAATAACTGTAAAGAACAGATTTAAAGTTCTCTTGTATGTTGAAAGTAACATTATCTAGTTCTAGTCTAGTAATAAGCAGGTTCCAGATTCTAGTGGTTCTAATGAAAAAATATTTCTGAAAGGTAGAAGTCCTGCATTTTTTTAGGCGCAAAAGATTGAGAGTTACCGATATACGGGTCCTTCATGTGCATTCACGCATGAAGGGAACAACAGATGGATCTAAGTGAATCATATTATGCGTAGCCTTGTAAAAGTATACTAGATCTAGTAACTCGTGCCAGTAGCACACAGGAAGTAGGTTTACAGACATTAGTCTTTCTTTGTAAGAGATAATTATTTGTTAAAAAAGGCAAGCAAAGAATGAATTTGGTGGCACGCCTTTGGATACTTTCAAGTTTAGAAATTAGTTCAATGCTTTGGAACGCCCAGACCTGGGTTGCATAGCCAAGATGAGCACGAACTAGCCCGAGGTATAAAGTGCACCTTACGGAAGTACTGTGAATAAACCTAGAGTTCCTCCTAACAAACCTAACAACTTGTTTGGGCGTGCAGCTTGGTGAGAGACTTGGGCGTGCCAAGTCAAGTCACAGTCCAAGGAGATGCTAAGATCACGCTCTACCTCACAGGACTTGATGGTACTGCCGTTAACCTCGTAGCTCGTACAGATGGGCTTGCGCTTTCTCGTGATGGTCTGAAGCTTGCATTTCTTATCATTGAAGGCTAGGCCAGAGGCAGCGGACCATGAAGACAGATTATCCAGATCTTGTTGGAGAGCGGCGCCATTATCCTCAGACATCACTACCTTGTATACTTTAGCATCATCTGCGAACATTGCCACTTTACTATTGAGGATAGAATCTGGAAGGTTGTTCAAACATAAAAAGAAGAGAGCAGGTCCGAGCATTGAACCCTGTGGGACTCCAGAGGTGACAGGCAGGTCACGTGATGTCGTGCCTAGTACGGTGACACGTTAGCACCTGCCACAGAGATACGCGTGAAACCATGTGAGCAGGTTCCCTCTGAAGCCAGCATCCCGCAGTTTTTCCATAACGAGGTCATGTCTAACCTTATGAAAGGCTTTGGACATGTCTAAATACACACAATCTACTTGACCAGCTCTATCAAGAATAGCACCGATGTAATCTAGGGTCTCCAGTAGATTTGTGACACATGAATGTCCACTCTGAAACCCGTGCTGACAGTCTGCAATCAGATCTTCTAATCGGTCATTGATGCGTTTCAAGACACAAAGTTCAAGGACTTTAGGAATAATGCAAAGTAGGGAGATAGGCCTATAGTTTTCAACATGATCTATTTCATCCTTCTTATCGACAAGCACTACATTGGCCAATTTCCACTCAGACGGTATGTAGCCTTCCCCCAGAGACCTGTTGAACAGCTTGCATAGTGATGGAGCAATAGTAGCGGCGGTTTCCTTTAGGATTCTAGCTGGGATCTCATCTGGACCAGTGGCTTTGTTTGGATCTAGTGATTTAAGGACAGCCTCAACTTCGCCAATGTGCAACACAATATCGCTAAAGGGGGTTCTGCGTGCGGCAGGGAATTTCCCTGCGCCGTTATCTACTTTGTCCTATTGAGGAACAGAGAACACTGAAGTGAAACAGTTATTAAAAATGTCTGCGATTTCTTCTGGGGTGCCAGCGGTTGCACATAGGTTACCAGTTGCCATGGAGACACTTTGTGGTACAAACAGTGAACAAATGTCATTATTCAAAATTAAGTACATTTGCACATAAACAAATTCTGCATAAACCTACAAAGAAACTTGGAAAAATTTGACTGAAATACAGCTTTTGTGTAACCGGAAGCGCTTCTGATGTAATGAAAGAATAACATAACAGTGGACCTTGAAAGCACATCATGTAATTAACTTACGTTTTAATTCAGATTTAATGATATATTTTTTTGTTTATGACATTAAAAAAAAAAGAAGCAATTAGTTTTAAAAATTTTTTAAAACTAATTGCTTCTTTTTCGGAGGAAAAGGTAGCGGACCGCTCTGAGAAAAGTAGCCGATGCGTTTCGTCAGTTGTTGGTGTTTATTGAAACCCCTGTTTAATACCCAATATTAAAACAATGATTGATGAGCACTAGTATTATAAGGATAAATTTGGTAATAATCACTATTGGCGCTTATCAAAATGGTACATTATTTACCTTGTGGCACAAAATTTTTGCGGGTTCTAATTTTTGCGATTTTTCCAGCACACATTTTTCCTGCAAGAAATTTCTCCACAGCAAATATTTTTCAACTTAAATTCTTCCAATTGATCATCAGAACAATCAATCATCCCAGATGTTACTGTAATCGAATGACAAAGAAAAGTAACCTGTTATACTGGTTTTACATACAGTGTAGGGTACACAAACTGTAGCATTGTTTGTTCCCGCAAAACACAAAAGTCGCAAACTCCCGCAAACATTTCATGCCGCACAGTATGTTAGAAAAATTACAAGGGTTATTAGGCCATATTACCTCCACAATCCTTGTAAGAATTTCCTCATCATTCTTCCCAGCAAAGCACCATACTCTCAGCTCTTCACAAGCAATAGCCAACAGAGGAACTCCTTCAGTAAAGCAATCTCTCTGATATGACACACAACCCAAATTGTACACATTGCAGCCGAGCCAGCGGAGCTCGTTTGGAGACAATGGGATGTCTGGATCATCAAGGGCAGAATGAATTACGGAGTTTGCTTGTTCCACTACTGGAATACAATCCTCAAAGATCTGACATCTGCATAGTGTAAATAAAGAATGTGTTAGCATTAACAGTACAGTAAACTCTCTCAAGATTGATACCATGAAATGTTTGACTCTGTAGGTCTTTGTAACGGTCCACCAACAGCTGTACATTCATTCATTCCCCTATTCTTTATAGATATTCTTACCAGATTTCTCTCAGTCTCTTTGGACCTTCCCAGACCCAGACTGCTTACAGTACATCTTCCCCAAAATGCTATCTTGTGAGAGATATTGCCTACAGTGTATATCCCCATTTGTGAGCAGCACAAAAAAGACAAATTCTAGAGATGTTTGTAATTTTGTTTCAAGAATCGTTAGGCTGATTGGCAAGAGTTGAGGATACTGGATATGCAATAAAAGTTTGAGCAGTGTTACATGTATAATGTTATGGTTCAAATTTATCCTTGGTTTAAATTTTATTTCCCAGGGTGCAAAGATTAAGAAAGTCATTTTTACAGCTTGTCATTTGGGCAAGCTGAAGCTAGCATTTATTAGCCCAAACGTCATTTCAACTAGCCCCTCAATTTTTTTGATGAGCAGAATTGATTTCACAGTTCTTCTGTAAGTTGAATTCCTCAACATACTTCACTTGCCCATCGGGCAAGTTAAGAACAGAATTCACTAGCTCAATGCCAAAATCCACTAGCCGCGGGCTATCAGATACTACTTTCTTTGCACACTGTTTCCCTTTGTTTTTCACTCATTTTCATCTATTAATATGCCCCAAAACAAAGAGAAATAAAAGCACAACATAATCCTTTCCTTAAACTACAGTCTGTACACTGTAGGTAACTGTTTTAAAGTTTTGTGCTACCTGTACTACTGACCTTGAATCCCTGATGGAACTTTTTGCATCTTTTTCATTCTTCAACTGATCTTGCTTAAACTACAGTCTGTACACTGTAGGTAACTGTTTTAAAGTTTTGCGATACCTGTACTACTGACCTTGAATCCCTGATGGAACTTTTTGCATCTTTTTCATTCTTCAACTGATCTTGATATGAAGAAATAACAAAATTAAATACTGTCATTTGCCGTTCTGTGGTCTTTAGAACCTGTTGTTTTAGCTGTGCCACGATATCGTCATGTTTGGATTTAAGGAGCTCTCTTTTAAGCCGCTCACACTGCAAAGATAAGACTGAGATGTAAGACTGCAGAACTTGTACTGTTCCTTGGAGAGTCTTCAATGAAAGAGTGGGTGATTTTTCCTTACTCTTTTTGCTACTTTCATTTTGCAAATTAATTCTGAAGTACTCCAGGGAGTCTGAAAGTAATTTTAACATTGGTGAAGGTAATGTGCTACACTTCTGGATCTGGGAGATTAGCCAGTTACTTTCGAATAACATCTGCTGAAGAGATTCTTGAGTTTGAGATTTAATAGTAGAGTTCAACAAAATAGGTGCCTTGTAGACTAAAGACACACAGCAACAAACCTGTGGAGGTATTTGTAGTTTAAAATGTCCATTTTTGCAATGGTTTTCATTTCCTACAGTTTTCAACAGTTTATCAAACACAGCCAAAGCTTCTGGTGAGTTTCCAGCCTTATTACAAATTCTGCCACAATGAAATCCAAGTTCAGCCAAGAGAACTGTAAATTCTCGTCCATTTGCAATCAGTTGTTCTTGCTTGTTCATGAGTGCACTAAAAATGGTTTCAAAGAAGCTTGCTAAGGTTTTAAAATCAACATTCTTTGGCCCACAATCGACTTGATATTTTGTCCCACATTTCAGAGTTCTATCTACCAAGGATTTTAGTGAAGAATGTACATTTGCTTCTACTTGAAAAAGTAATGAGAGCTTTCTCCAGTCTAACACAGCACACAAGTGAGACAGTCTTTCCCCTGGAGGTACTTTTGCCTCCTCAAGCTTCCCAGCTCCTTGAAGTAACAAATCAGATGAACGTAAACAAAGTGATCCAATTTCCTTGTCCATCTTTTCACTGTCATAGCTCTTCCATGCCTTAAGAAGCTAGATGAATTTATATAGGTCATTAGCATGATCCAGAGCCCTTTCAAACTGTGCCTTGGCAATGAGCTGAGCAGCAATAAGGTAAAGTGTTTTAGCAAGCTGATCTACTGAAGGAATAAACTTCAGGTAGTTTCCATGATGGAGTGCTAAAGTGTTGTTGAGAAGTGTACCCACTGAAATATGAACAAAACAATTTGCAAGTTACAGGTCACTTTATAGCTCTCTGTTAATCTCACACTTAAAGCAAATGTGGATTGCTTATCAGACAACTTATATTTCACCCATATTTAAGCCTTACTGGCCCGGGATTATCAGATAGCAATTTGTTGTGCCCTGCTTGCACCACACTGAAAATGCTATTTCCTTCCACTGCGAAATGTGTTGTATGTGCCTGGGAGTACCAATATTCTTGCAATACTGTTGTCAGTGTCACAACTGACTACTTCCTAAGTAAGTACGCGACCATAAGTAGGTTATTCAACAATTATTCCTCAAGCCCGAATGGGCTCTGAGTCAATAGCCCATGAGGTTAAAGGCCGAATGGGCTATTTACTTTGAGGCCGTGAGGGCGAGAGGAATAATTGTTTTAGTAAAATCCAACTAGTTGGTAAAAAAAATTTTGAGACAAAACAACTTTGGCTAGCAAAACGCGATTCAGCAGCCACTGTTTTGATTTCAAAGCCCGCGCTTTTCGCTACTAGTGGACCATAACATATAGCCTAGTAGTAGCTCAACTAATCAGAATGGAGTATTGATAATAGACTACTAGTTGGATTTTACTAAAAATTTTTATTCTTATGCATTATAAATAAAAACTCATTTTCATTAGTAAGGTTTTGCAGTTGGCCCCATTTTAAGAATAAACATTAAGCTTATTTTGGGAACTCAGAAAAGACCTTACTTCCAAACAACAACTAAAGATGTTCACATGCTTTATGTTACCTAATTTCAAGGCATCTGTGACCTCAATAAGGCCTTTTTCCTTGGCTTTCACATTTTTCAAGGTCTCTATAGCACACCTTAGAAACTTGGTACAAAAAACGGCGTACTTTGATACAGTTTCCTCTGTAGCTTTGCCTTCTGCTTGGCAGCCATTTTGTTCTTTAGCGGACATAGGCAGTGGAGCAAGATAATTCTGCAAGTTCCATCAAACAATATTAAAAACAACATATCAAGGGTGAATGCTACCCCATTTGAAAACATGGAGTTAAGAAAAATGAGAGGCTTTGACAAAAAAGATGTCTAAAATAAGTGTAATGTTCGCTTTCAAGTGGCACTCTTTCTATGACCTGCTCATGTAGATCCGTGCGATTCTTGCAATTGAAGAGTGTAACAAGACGCTCGCTTTGAAATGAACTAAATTTTTATTCAACGAAACGTGTTTGAAAGTGAGTAGCCTTACAAATCTTAAGTATCTTCGCTAACGGAGCTACAAAGTGTCCTTAATTAAGCTACCATAATTTTACAGCTTAGTAAAATAACAGAGTGTGTATAATATGCGAGCCAGCGAGTCATGCGAGTCAACATGCGAGCCATGCGAGCCAAGCGAGTCAACAAGGGAGCCATGCGAGTCAGCTTAAAATAACTTTGTTTTTAACGTAAACTACAAAAAAACTAGCCTCTGTAACTAAGTAACGTATTTATTCCAAAGGCACGTCCTTGAAAATTCAGCTTCAGAAAAATTCGCCAACATACACTTTGAACGAGGTGAAACAATAACAAAGGTTTGAGAATGTGTTAAACAAAGGTTTAAAGGTTCTTCTTCGGTCACGTTTAATGAGTCACACCATATGTGGTAAGTCACATGACCAGAATATAAAAAAAACACTCTTTAAAACCCAAACGTCTTGCATCTTTCACAATAAAACCAATGCCAATGGCTTAAGAATATCGCAATAAAAAATCTGACTTACTAACAACTTTAACGTTCGTTCTCAAAATTCACATTTATCGAAAAAGCTATGAAGTCATTGAGGGGTATTTTCATACATTTTCTTTAACAGACTTTCTTGCTTTCGTCTGAACGCTAATTTCATGCTACAGATGTTAAAAAGAGTCAAATTGCTTGTGATTCGCCAAAAAATGGATTCTCTTTCCTTTGAACTTTTGCGCTTTTTCATTTCTAAAGCGGGATTGGGGACTGGCACTAGTTGCGCATGTGTAATGTCCATTTATTGTTGTCTTATCTATGTTGGCGGTTTAAGACACGTGAGGAATAGTAACAAAGAACATAACCTACCTTGAAAAAAGATGAAAAAGATGAAGGCAGATAACAAAACGATATTGAAAGGAGAGCGAGGACAGCGAAAACTCGTGCCAAATAGCCAAAAGCCGCCAAAAGCCGAAGAAAGGAAAATGGACTGGGAACTAACATCTGTCTCGCATGGCTCACATGATGACTCGCATGACTCGCTGGCTCGCTGGCTCGCAGTTTGTCAAGACCCAAATGATTTAGCAACCAGTTAAGTTTGTAACTGTTCAACTTACCTTCGTATCCTTATAAAGACCACCTGTCTCTCCGTTTAAAAGTGATTTGAGGATTCTTTCCCCTTGCTTGTTTCTGTGAAGCTCTGCCCATTACCAGTTCGTTCATAACATAGTGTTTTACGGCACACTTTTGATGGTGAAACTGTTCAAATGAGTCAAAAATGGCGCCTTCCCCTAGCAAACAACGCTTGTTCCCAGGGCACCGCACATTTCAAGAACTTTGAACTACGAAAACATTTTCAAAAGTTGCGTGACGAATGAGCCATTCCCGCTGTTACTGGCTTATTAAGACTTTTTTGGTCCTGTTAGTACAATTTTTGCTTTATATAACATTCGACTCTAATTATGGTCACTTTCTTAACGTCAAATCAGGAGCCTCGAAGTTCTTCGATTAGCGGGAAAATTTTCAGGTCGCTTTTTTCCAGTTTGTTTTATAAGTTAATTTTTTTGCAATCAGTTTTCAGCTTTGTACAGCAATGTATAATTTCTGTGTTGTCCTCGCAAGGTGGGGCATTTTCGTTAAAAATGACAAATATCGGGTGTGGAATAGCCCGATTGGAAGAATCCTGATACTCAGACGTCCGAGATCGTTCGCGGCCCCTTCTCTTGTCTCCTTCAGGCTAGGGGTGGAAGTGTACGCTTAGAGTCGTTACTATTAAACAAGAACATATGCGAAAAAGAAGAAAAAGAGCACAGATGGAACTTACACGAGCATTCTGCGAATGGTGAAAAATATATCCTGGAAAGATGATGGTAGTTTAGAAAAGGTGATCACTACCATTCACATATGGAATAGAGTGTTTTCACATGATTTCACGGCCATATTACTGTCCCAAAACAATGAAATGGCGGCCATGTTGGTATCCCAAACCAGTCCTATAGGGGTTGAACTCTTTTCTTATGCCAACGCTTTCTTTCGTTCCAATAAATTTGCATAGATGCTGGCCAGGTGGATGAAAACGCTCTATACGCCACTTCCACATTTCCCATAATGCACATCATTTGCCCCCACTCCAAATTTTGCATAACCTTTGTCTTTCGTTTCTCCCGGTATTACAGCCGTCCCAAGGGAAATTGAAAACAATGCTTATACAAAACGTTTGGGGGGCAAATAACGTTATTATGGGAAATGTGGAAGTGGCGTGCGGAAGGATTGCACTAGCTGTAGCTACAATCCTGGAAAAAAGTCCAGGACCGTACTGCAATATTCATATTTTTCTGTGATTTCTCGGTTCCCTCTTAAAACAGTGCATCCTTTTCGAAATTTTCTTGCAGTTTTTCTTTGCCCCATCCTATACAAAGTTGAAACTCTGGATACACGCGTACAAAATAGTTTGTGGGGTGAGGGGAGTGGGGGGAGGGGGAGGGGGTTGGACCTCTGTGAATTGGAAATTGGAATTGGAATCATTATATGTTCAGTTTCGTTTGTACCTTCGGGGCACTTGATAGAGATTAAAATGTCTGTTCAGTAACCGCTTGAACTTGTGGCTCAAGAAATATCGTTTGGAAATATCTACATGATACAGAACAGCTGACAGAATTGCTTTACTCTTGTCGATCGTAATTCATGTTAAACGTTCAAACTATCAACTGCATGCAGTACTCTGAACCGGTTGTAATTCAAACTCGGTCGCAATCGCGCAATGAAATAAATACACACAAGGAAAACTTAGTTCAAAAACACAACAATTTCCTTTAATTGAAAAGAAGCTATTTGGTCCTTAACGAAGAAAAAGAGAAAAGAAGGAAACAAGAATGAATAACTAGCAGAATCATCACACTTGACAGTGAAAATAGCAAGAAGATCGAATGACAACACAGCTGAAAACATGACATTGGTCTCAGAAACTTCGTATAAACAAAATCACTGCGGAAACCACAAAGCGGCTCTAAATGAAAAACCTACCGACTCGCCGCAATGATTCTACATTCGCAGTTCAATTTGCCAATTCAGTTTCGAAGACAAGAGCAATTTTGCTGTTTTACGATAAAGAAAATCGAAATGTCTCAACCCCACACAAGCATGCCACCGATGCGATCAACCGACAATTCCGCTAGAATTTCTCATAATTATACATAATTATGCGAATGTTTACACAATCAACCAATCAAAATCACCACCCGGTTTTCGGGAAGTAGTGACGCCACTGGACGGCATTAACGGCTGGTCGATTCAGACGTTGCTGAGAGGAGAACTGAATGGGCGCTTTCCATGTAGGAAAAAAACCCGGAAATTTCGGTGGGAGCAAAAGTGGAATTTCCGATTGGTAAAAAATTGTTCCATTTGGTCGTAAAGCCCGGTACGTCGCGGTGCCCGACCGTGGACCTGGAACTGGTACAAACTACGAGAAACGTAAATGGAACACGACATTCCGTTCGGAAATTCCAACCTGGAAAACAGGCCCACCTTGTTAGATTTTCCACTTTTTCTGGGAATTTTCCAGTGGGACGAGCCGACGAAACTGTTCCATTTACCG